TCACATAGTTGCCCAGTGATCCAGACTTATGAAGCAGGGTAGGTCCCATCCTATCCAGAGTTTGGGAGTGCCATGTACAGGCCGGGCTTAGAAACAATGGCGCCTAGTAGGCGAGCAGTGGTGAAGGGAACCAGATTCCACATGGTCAACTATACTTTGAATCCCAGTCCCAGGCCTGGAAAACACACTGGGTCTTGCCTCTAGTACCAATGAGATGGAGAAATGGAGGAGGAGGGATGAGGGCGTGACAACGCCCCCTAGCAGAGTCCTTTCTCTCACTCTGTTTCTGATGTCTGATGATTATGTGTGCCCTCTGACAATTAAAAAAAAAAATTGGTGCATATCATTTCTGGTTGCATTCTCTAAGTAAACAACTTTAGTTGCTTTAACAAACTAAATCCAAATCTTAGTTGCCTGATAAGTGAGTTTTTCATTTACTTCACTGTCCAATGTGAATGAGGGTATGAGTGTATTTTGTTCCATACGGTCACTCAGGGACTCAGTCTCCTTTCGTCTAGCAGCTCAGCTGGCACAGGAGCAGCGTTCTCTATCACAGGCAAGGATATGATGGTTGGGTTTGCATTTTATCTGTGAAATTATTGCTATATATGCTCATTTTTAGATCATTCAAAATCAGTATCGATACAAAAATGTTCTAGTTATTTCAGCCTTGTGGTTGTTAGGCTTCGAAGCTATGAGTGAGAGCTTCCTTTCATATTAAAATGGTAGGTACACTTGTGATTTTTTAAAATTTTTTTTAGAATTATTCTATTTAACTTTATTTACTTCCTTATTTTTAAATTTTACCAGAGAGAGAGAAAATGAGAAAGCAAGTGGCCAGGTTCAGGACTCAAACCATGGTTTACCATGTGGGAGTCCAGTGCCCTTAACCACTATAACACCTGCTGACCCCATTAAGTTTGTGATTTTAAGAGATCGTTTTTCTCTTGCCTTCCATGAATGACTACCGAAGAATCCAGACTTTTCAAGGTGGCTCACACTGTCAGGCTACATGAACTCTACTGCCCTTCTCTAGCAGTCTTGCTAGAGAAACTTTCCCTTTCCATTGTTCGTGGGAAGGCAATCCTTACCAAGCAATCCCAACCTTGAGTAGCAGATTCCAGTACAACCTTCTCCCCAGCCAGACACATACAAACCTGTCACTTAGAGGAGAGACAGACCCCTGACCTGGGCAGTTGGCCAGTGCCTGGTCAGCTCCTTGACCTTGAGAGCATGAATTAAGCGGCAGAGCCACTTGGGAGCAGACATCTTAGCCGAGACACCAAACTTCGGGGCTGCAGCCAGTGTGACTTGGTTTCTGTTCCTGTTCAGAAGAGCTCTGAGTAAAGAGGTGGTGTGGTTTGGTCCTGTGCCTATGATCTCTTCAGCTTGCTTTCTTGAAATACTGTCTCTCCCCTACCCGCTGTTAACCCGCATGCCCAAACCAATGAGGTACTAGAGGGCTCTCCAGTCTTCGCACAAGGCTCCCTCTGCCCAGAAAACTACCACTTATTTTTTCTATCATCCTGTTTATCTGCTTGGAAAACCCCTAATTTTCAAGAGACAGATTATGTCACATTTCTATGTCGTACCTCTTAGGTTCCTCTGAATCTGGTCTCCTGCTATAACGTTAGTCATACTGCGCTGTGCAGATCGGCTTATCTGTCTGTTTTCAACGAAAACTTCAAGAATCGAGAGAAGGGATTATATACCTTTTCATCTGCATTTCTTAGAATCTACATGAGAGCCGGTGTGTAGAAGCTACGTAAACATTCTTTACTAGGCCAGCTCAGTGATGCAGCAGTAGTGCATGCTGTGTCCATGTGGGGGATCATGGGTTCAGTTCCCTGGTCAACCTGTAAGCACAGCCACATGTGCCCATAATCTGGGAAGGCTGTGGCGGGAGTTGGGATCATGGCATGAGACCCTGTTGAAGGTGCTTACCCT